GGTCTCCAGATGTAATGGTTCTCCATGCCACTGGATTAAGGTCTCTTCTGCCAAGAGAGCAGGGCTATGCCCAAGGAAATTCATGAAGTTGATTCAACTATTCTCTGATGTAATGACAGAACAGGTTCTTGACAACAGTGTACATCAGCTACATTTTTTATTTACAATGAGTAAAACAGGGTTGTGTGCTAATTCCAATTCTATTCAATTGGTTTTTTGCTAACACATTATCAAGTCCTGTCCAATGTCCGAAAGAGGAAGTGTATATCAGCTTCTGATTGGAAGGCATTTTCTTTTACTTTTGTTGCTTGAATGCACAAAATGCCTCCACATAGTCATTTAAGAAACTCTTTTTGCTGATTCTCAGAAACTTCTATGCTGTTCTGATTATCAGCCTGAACAAGGCAGAAGTTCTTCACCAGCCCATGCAAAATACCATGCCTAAAAACCAAAAATCATTGTTGGAAATACCTGGATGACAAATGTAAACAGCTTCAAATACTTAGGAAGCTTCATCTTGAGTGATGGGCTTTTGGACAAAGAAACAAACTTCAGGATCAGCAAGGCCAGCCAGGCACTGGCATGGCTGTATACTAGTGTCCTCAATGAACACAGCTTTTGTATCTCCACAAAACTAAAGGTCTACAGAGCAGTGGTTGTCCCTTCCCTCCTACATGGATATGAGTCCTGATCTCTGGACCAAAGGTACATAAAACAACTGGAGAAATTTCACATGTGCACTCTCTGCTCTGTCCTCTGCGCTCATTGACAAGACCATGTCTCCAACCTGGAGGTCTTAAACCATGCAGAGTCCAACACTGAGTCCCTGATTATCTGTGTCCAAATAAAATAGGTGGGACATGTCACCAGAATGGATGACTGCCATATGCCTTGCCAGTTGTTCTATAGTGCACTGGAATCTGGAAAGAGACCCTGAGGTCAACCATGTAAATGCTACACTTGTGAAAGAGACCCCACTCCACTGTGACATTCAGCCAAGGAAACTACAAGCTGTGGCTGCTGACAGAACCCACTGGTGAGCCCTCTGCTATGATGCCTCCTCCTGATTCGAAGAAAAGCGCTGCCAAAAACTGATAGAAAACTGTGAGTAGCAACACAAAATAACACCCACAGTTACTACAACAATGGACTTCAAATGGTCCCATTGTGCTAGACTCTGTGCTTCAAGACTTGGACTGCATCCCTTATTTAAAATTATTCTGTGTCTTCTTTTTCTTTGTCCTTCAATATCGCTCTGTCCATTTCTACACATTCCAATGTTTTCTTGATCTCTTCTTCGGGTAATATTTCTTCGTTTTTCAAACACTAAGCAAATACAATTCTTACTGCTATTAATGCATACAACATTAAGTATATACTTCCTCATCATATTTTTCTAATATTATATCTAATAAAAATTAGTTCCAGTTTATAACATCTTTTCTATCCAGCTCATATCTCAATTATATTTGCAGTTGAGGCCACCTTATTGAACCAATACCCTGTTTTTTCTCAACTCTTAATTTTAAATAAGGGATATAGGTTATCACTGGCTGGGAAAAAGGGGTAGAAATTAGAAGACATCTGAGACATCTGAGACAAGATGTTAAGTTCCAAAAATCCCGAGGAAAAGTCTTGAAAAGTAATAACATGGTCATAGAACATTAAATTTAGAAAAGGGACTTGGAGATAATTGAGTCCAGATCTCTACTCAGTTCGAGATCTACAGTGCAAGATTCCACCACAATACATTCTGCAACCCAGTGCTTCTACAACTGAGTCCAAAATTTATGTTGCTAAGTAGGAAATTTGTTAAGTGAGTTTTGCCCCATTTTATGACTTTTCTTGCCACTGAAGGTGTTAAGTGAATCTGGTTGTCCCATTGACTTTGCTTGTCAGAAGGTCACACTGCAAGCGTCATAAAGATGAACCAGTTTTCAAGCAGCCGAATGGTCATAAGTCACTTTTTTCAGTCTTATAACTTCAAACAGTCATTAAATGTTATAACAGTTATAAGTCGAGGACTATCTGTACATGTGTATTAAATTGCTGTCATGTTCAACCAACCTGGATAATGTTTATGTAACTGAAAGCAGGTGGAATTTGTACTATTGTAATCCAATATATCACACAATACCAACTTTGAACAAGCTGAACTATAGTATTCCCAGCCAATAAGCATTCAGCTTCTGCTTAGGAGGGAAATCCCAGAGCCTCCAAAGACAGCCTATTTCACTGTCAAAGTTTGAAGTTTTTCTTATTGTTTAACAGAAATCTACTTCCTTGAGATTTTTTATCCCTTAGTCTTCTTTCTAGAAAAACATAGAAGAAGTTCCCTGTATGATAGTCCTTTTCTAATGTTCTTGGTCATTTTCTATTGTCAACCTAGAAATGTAACACAAAATATGTTAACAAGGCAATGCTTTATCAAAAAACAAAATGGGGGAAATTAGAGAGGGCAATTTACCAAGACAGGGACAAGGAGGGAAATAACTATTATTCCTGGAATGTATAGTGTCTATAACTGAACATTTAAAAGTAACCCTCATAACGACTAGCATAATCAGTTCCTACAACCATTACACCATATGGATTATGTCAACAGAACCCATATGCCAATCCCTTGGTATCTCCAGGTAGCAGATATTGACAAAAATCTGAAACCTCCAAGAACTGTTGCTAGTCAAAGAATTTGGCTTGATGGCTAGTAATTTAACTCTTTCTAAAGTTTCCTCATATGGAAACCAAGACTGTCTGGATGAGCCCATTTTTGAATCAAGCTGAGCTGTGACAGACTGGCTAGTTTTGTAAATCTTCTAATGATCTTTTGGATATGTTGACAATAAATCTTTTGTATGTCAAACAATCTAAACAAATTGCAGGAAATAAGCTGGGTCATTTAATTTGCATACTTTGCTGATATATGGGAGGATTTTTTCTATTTTGATGCTGTATCTATGTGAGAGCATAAGATTGATGAAACATGAAAAATGCTCTTCAGCAGTTTATTTAGGAGCGACCTGACATGATTGGATGTCATTTAATATGGGAATTTAATGGGTAAAAAGCATTTCAATCTGTCAGGATGTTCCATTTCTGACCTTTAGGTTGCTGCGGTTAGACAAATTTTAAAAGGCAACTAAAACAGTAGGTTGAAGGACTGGAATTTAAGAATGCCGACTGAGTTTCTCACGCTCCTTAAAAAGGGGGTGGGCAAGCTCTCTACTGGAGAACATGACTGCCTTCCACTGGACAAGTATAGATGTTTACTGCTTCATCTGTGGCTTTGGGACCTGGAAGACAATATCAGGAGATGCCTGTTCTTCTGTTGATACAATATACACTCACAATGTATGAAACTCTCAAGATAACCCTTTGTGGTATGCCACAAAGTAGAATAGCCTCCTGGAATAGCCTCAGTTGGCAAAGAACCAGGTAAAAACAATTAGCAACTCACTAGCATTCAGAGGCTCTGTGTGAATTCACTTCCAATCAACTCTCTGAGTTACTTGTGTGTCTGAAGATCATCAGTGGAACTTCTTTTGCCAGAAATATAGAAGGAAGAGAAAGGTGACACCCTACTTAAGAACATTCTCTGGATAGCTCAGTTGGTGCTGATGTTACTATAGTTCAATGTTTCTCAGTTTTGGCAACTTGAAGGTATGTGGACTTCAGCTCTTAGAATTTCCAACAATCATGCTGGCTGGGGAATTCTGGGAATTCACACATCTTAAAATTGCTGAGATTGAGAATAATAGTTTAGACTATGACATTGATCCTCATTCGTTGTTGTTCTTGCTTATGTCTTTTGTGGGTTTTTTGTGTGCTTGCTAGGTTTGTGCTATGATTGAGATTTTTCAACAGGAAAAGAAAAGCAGAATATAATCCAAAGAAACAAGCACTCACCCATCCCCTGTCCTGGGAAAGAAGTGAGTGGTAGACCATTCACAAAAGAAAAATTGATCTGGATTGGGAACATTGAATTAAACTTCAATTGGTACTGATTTGATTAAGAAGATGCAAAACCATATTCCAGATAAATCTTTCATGGAATACTAAATTCTTCCTTTTTTTATTGGTTTGCTAAGAAAAAATGGCTTTATTTGAAGGCTTCTCACTATGTGGATCCCAACATACTGGCTAGGAAATTCTAAAATTTGAAGTGCACATATCTTGGAGACTTCTGAGATTGAAATGCATACATTTCAAGCTGCTGAGGTTGAGAAACATTGCTGTAGTCTGTTTTACTGTTTTTACTACTCTGAGATGTTGTTTATGTTTTTATGCCATTTGTAACATGCCTTATGTTGTTTCTCCCTTTGCATGCTATCCTGTTTTCTGTTAACATAAAGAGTGGCTTAAACAAATACTTGAATGGGTAATTAATTTAACTCCTGGGTCTTAGATAAGGAAGGGGAAGAAAAGAACAATGGTCAATATTTCATTCCTCTGACCATTGGCAACCACAAACAATATAGCCAACCTGACCAGGGACAGCCTTATAGACCCAACAGAAAAAAAAGGACAAAACCAGTTCAGCAGTGCCAACCCCCATCCAACCTGCCCAGCCAACCCCAACCCCAAAGAGACCAGAGCAGTACAATAATCTCAACTCAGCAGCAGCCAACTGTACCAACCAAGGATCACAGTTTCTGCAGCAGCAGCATCAAGCTAGCAGAAACAGTGACAGAAAGGAGCTCTGTAGAAACAGAAACGCTCAGAACAGCCCAGCAGGAAGGAAAAAGAAAGGTTGGTTGGAAGCGCCTGGGATTTGGGCAAAGAAGGAAAGAATGACTTTCCTCCCTGCTTCCAAAGGTTGGAGTGTGCAAGCAAGGGACTGATGCTGGGAACAAGGAAAGGGGAAAGGAAACATTTTGGGGATGGTGACTGGTTGGCATCTCTTCACTGCCAGTGTTGCTGGACTTTTCTGGCTTGTAGCATTGCTGGATTTCACAGCTGGGAACCATGGGTTGCTGAGCTGTTGCAATTACCCCTTTTACCTTTTTCTTCAACTCTTTTCGGTGCACCCCTCCTTTCATCCATGCTGCTTTCCTGCAAGCCCCTCCTTACAGTTCCTCCTGTGTGCTCCTCTTTCTTATACACCATCCCTCTCTCCAGCACTTTCTCAGGTTACTCAGATTCTTCTCCATTGATGCTCCATATCATTATCAGTCCTCTGGATAAGGTAGTAGACCCAAGAAAGAGGACAAAAAGAAGTGGTGCCCTGGAAGACGACAAAATAAAATTTTCTTTGAAATGGAGAAGTAGTATGGGCATTTTTCCAGTTGTATTCCCTTCCTTCTGCAGACACACCTAGTCTGATTACTGCATTCCTTTTATATGGAGCCGCTTTTGAAACTATTTGAAAATAACAGCTGCTGCTTCAAAATATTATTTCCATGCTGTTGACAGACGGATTTATTTAGAACACATGACTCCATTGTTATTCAGTCAACATCCATTCTTATTCTGTAAGTCTGGCCCTACTTCCCTAATGTAGTAGGAAAATGTCTAGGACTACATCCTCTAACATTTCCTAGGAGTGGCCAAGAGAATGAAGAGTTGTAGTCTAGCATATCAGGATGAGACAAAATGGGGCAAGGTTCTCATAAAAAGTTTGGGACATGGTTCTTCAGCTAGAATATCCAACTGTTAAGACGTTGTTAGATATTTTATTACAAAATGGAATTTGCTTCTCTCATTTTCTGAGGGCAAAGTATACTTTCCTAATGGGTGAAACCTCTTTTGTTTGTCTATTTATTGTATTTTACCACAATGTAATTTCTTTTATAGAGGCAGGAACACATAAAAATGATTTATTGAATGCAATTCTGGAAGAAAAAATTAATTGCAATTAGGGGAACTAAAGAAAAGGGTAAATAAATACAATTTTTTAAAAAAAGAATTTTGTTTGTAAACATAAAGAACAGCTTATTTTTGTCCTCTTGGGTTTCTTCCTAAGGACACTTTATTTTCCACTGAAGTAGCCACAAGTCTAAGATTAGCTCAAAATATGCTACTTAGTTGATTTGCTGGTCTTAAGGCTCTAGACAGCAGCAACCCTTTCCCACTTTGTTATTCTGATGGTGTTGGCAGGAAACCACTAACAGAAGTCAACTGACAAAGCGGAGTTACTTTATTAGAGCATTTCTCTAGTTGCATGTGTTTTTATCAAATAGATCATTAGAAAAAGACCTGGTCTGTTCTTGCTTTTAGCAGTTCTGGAGGATTTCTGGAATTTCATGAAATATGTTTTGAGCCACACACAAGGAACTCTAAGGTGAGAAAAACTGAATTAAATATTAACCGTTGGGACTGTATTTGAGGGCATTGAATGTGATCCATAGAACTGAACATTGGACAAAAGAGTCAGTTCAGCTCTTGATTTAGTGTTCAGAAATCTGCCCAGGGGCTAAGTGTAAGCCATTCACCTAAACTTAATTTCCCATCTGTAAAGTTGGAATAGTTTTAACAGATGTTAACCGTAAGTAGGAGAAAATGTATCCAAACTTATATTCGCTGCTCCTCTTGTTCAACATGATTCAGCATTCTCAATTTTCATCCATTTTCTCTTTCTTTTGGTATTTTGTAAGTATGCAGTCATGTCAAAGATTGTCTTAAGTGTGTATTAGAGACAGCTAACTTTATGAAAAAAATCAAGATAAATTATATATAATGTTGACTAATATACAGTCTCCATCTAATAACTGATGATTGTTCCTTAAAATTGTTGGCAGTCACAGATAAATTTGGCGATTATCATGAACCCCAGCCACTCATTTGCAATTTGCTGCTTTGCAGAGTGAGATGGGTGCCATATAAATGTAATAAATAAGTAAATAAATATTTTTTAATGGTCACACAAATATGGCTCCCAGCAATTGCTTATATGTATTTTATATACAGAAATGGAGGCGCACCCTCAGAAGTTTTTCTTTAAATGTGAAATTTCTCTGGCATTTTGGTCTGAATCCAAAAATTCACCAAATTTTGGATATTTGTCCTGATCTTTATTAAATACAATATTGCATTATTTACAACAGAACAAAATAAAATGAAAAGACTACATTTGGTGGGTTGTTCTAAAGAACTTAAAATTGCCTAATAAAAAATGAAGTTAAAGACATATTTAAATTTTCATTGATAATTTAAATATTTATCAGAATTTGTTTGTGGGCAATTTATGATATTTTTAAGTCCTGGGATTAAATTTGTCAAATATTAAACTTTATAGGATGCTTACTATGATGATATGATATAATAGACAATATATCAAATATAATAACTTTTAACATTTTTATTATTCTTGTATTGAGAGCTCTATTAATTTGCTTGTCGAATAAAATTACTGAAGTTGCAGATGTTTTGCACTGAATGCTGAAGAAATGATACTCTCTTGTTTATTTTAAAAATACAGAGAGAGAAAGGCTATAGAATTAAGAGTAGAATTTACTCCATTCTATAGAAGAGTTATGACTTATCTGAGTTAATTTTATTCTTGGGTGACTAAAGAAACATTCATTCACCCTTGTCAATTCACCTGAGTGTTAGACTACATTATCCCCCTTTTTCCAGAGCTTTGAAAATAGCTAATATAAATATTAGCCCTAAAGTGGTGATCCTAAGTATTTGTCTATATTTAAGTCCCTATGAATTGAATGGGCTTGAGTACATTTGTGCAGGCACTTATTGTTGATCTTTTAAGCCTGTCAAGTTTGAACAAGATTTTTTTTTTATTTTGCTTGAAGGAGAAATAATAGATGCATCTATTTTCCTTTATAAATTTTCTGCACAGTGGTGGATTGATCCCATTGAACAGAATATAAACAGCCGTGGAAAGCCAGCAGCGGCTGTGATGAAGTATTGCTAGACAAGAGGAGGGATTCCACTGAATACTATTGGACTCAATCCTGAGCTAATGCTGCTTGTTAGGGAAAGAAAATGAAATTGCTAAATTCATATCTCCACAAAAACTATTTTCCCACTCTCAAATCAATTCATGAATCAAACCTCGGTAACTTTTTTGAAAATTGGACTTCAGTTACAAGATGCAATTCTCCAAATAATGATTCTTACAGACAAAATCTGTAGACGGTATTATGGATTACTAGGAAAGTAGCACAAAACAGTGCATTTATCTGAGAGGAAATTACGGCAAAAATGTGCATGCTGTTCAAAGCTGTATATGCAATTTAGTGGACCAGAAGAAATATAAATAAATTATGTAAACACCCCATAGATTTTTGTTTGAGCTTATATGGGAATAAGCAGTGAGAGGACCCTGTTGATCAATAATACCAAATAAAATTTTGGTATTAAAATGAGACCATAGAGATATCATAAAGGATATAGTTTTGCAAGAAAGAAACAAAATAATGTGAAAAAATATTGATCTTTTTGGTCATTTCTTGTTTTGCTTTATCAAAACATTAAAAGATTATAAAATGTTCCTAATATTTTAATTTTCAATTATTTATAAAATGATAAAGATGTGAAAGAAATTGAAGTTTGTAATTACAGCATGACCATCTAAACTAGCATGGAAGAATGATAAAGCCATTTATCTCAAAACAGAAAACATTTCAATGTTTATACATCCATGATAAAGATCAAGTGATGAAAATAAAAAAATAATCTTAAGATCTGTTAATATTTCATATATAAGAAATGAATCTCACGCGAGAACATTTACATATATAGTGTAAATTGTCCCCTCCATCAATTTTACCCTTTTGTTAGCTTTTTTTTCTTTAAAATTATTTCTTTTTCTATTCGTTTGGTACAGCTAAGCTCAGAATCCTGAATCTCTAACTTACCTTAAGAGAATGTTACTGGTTTTGTCTGGTTGTTTTGTGTTACTGGTTTTGTGTTAATTTTTTGCCTCCAAGCTTTTCTTAGAGTTCTTCTTCACATACCATAACAATGATATGAATATGCCCTAGTAACCATTCTGATATGACTGGTTTTGCGTTCAGCTCATTCTCATAGAGAGAGCTTATCCTTTGACAATTATAATTTAAAGTAGTACTTTCATTCTTATCCCAACATATTTTTTATTACGGATAAAATCTACATGGAGTTGTGTTCCTCTGTTTAATAATAATAATAATAATAATAATGATGATGATGATGATGATGATGATGATGATGATGATGATGGATAGGAAGACCATAAAAATAATGACGATGAATCATGGCCTTCATCCACATGACATTGACAGACTTTATCTACCAAGGCAAATAGGTGGGCGTGGAATGTACTTCAACCATCTGAAGTACATCAGATGGTTGAAGAAGAAAAAATGGCTTTGGAAGAATATCTGAAGAACAATGATGAAGATGCACTGAAATTAGTATATCAGGAAGGTTTACTAACTACTGGAGAGACCAAAATGGCCTACAAGAAAGACCAAATGAAGAACAGAATAGAGGCATGGGAAGACAAAGCACTACATGGCCAATACATGAAAAAAATAGCTGGGAAAGCAGACACCAACAAGACCCAGCAATGGCCAAGAGCAGGAAAACTGAAGAAAGAGACCGAGGGACCAAATAATAATAATAATAATAATAATAATAATAATAATAATAATATTAATAATCCCCCAGTGAGGCACTACCTTGACGTGGTTGTGGGGCTTGTGTACTCTGAGGAAGATGAGAGCTATGCCAGAGGTTCAACCATACTGGACAGGTCTCATCAGAGGAGTCAGACAAAGAGTGTCTCTCCCATAAAAAATATGGTGAGAAGTAAATTTCAGAATGCCATACCGGCTCGGATGTCGCCCGGGTTAACAAGGTCCCGCGCTAGATATTGGAGTTCCCTGGATATCTGGTGAAAAATGGGTTACAGGACTCAGGACTGTGGCTGAGCAACCAGGCCAGCAGCTGCAGAACTACTGGAAGAAAAGGTGTTTTACCCGTCGCAGATACACAGTGATGGAAAACAAAGAAATAATGATCTGTTACTACAGATCAAGTCCAACAAAAGAGGATATCTAAAACGAATGCACCAGTTCTGGAAAGAACAACATCCAGAATCAGAAATAACAGAACAGACTAGCAGATCAACGCCGATTTATACACGAAATAAAATATTTACAGAAACAGAATTGGACGAACTGCAAAGGTTTACCCAGGGCAAAGAAATCAAAGCCTTACCAGAAGTAATTCAGAATGTAGAGGCAAACCAGGGGGAGTTGGCAGTGAAAGAATCCAGTAGAGATATACAACTGTTCTCATTTGGAAACCAGGCA